TGGCTGGGAGCTGGCTCCGGAGGCAGGCTGTGCTTCGCCATTTGCAGGTGCTGTTGCGACGTTTTGCACAGTGGTCCAGCCCAGCAGTGTTTGTGTGTTACCGCTGGTACTAAGTTTTGTCCCTTTAACATTACAAGGCAGGTTATCATTGCACAGGCTGGCTCGATGAACCATTCAGAACCACGAGGAGAGTAATAGAGAGTAATATGATCAGAAACTGAAATGCTTGTTTAGAAAAGCAGAGGTTTTGGTGATAAGCAGACTAAAATGAATGCATATGTCTTCCAATTTAAAACAGTATTGTAAGAAACCCAGAAAGCTGGTAGGGGTTGTGCTGGTCTGTACAAGGTAAATTATCTAAGCTTGTTTAATCTGTCGGTCATAACAATGCAATTGTGTAAACCTCACCGAATGATTTAGATACGTTGAATTTAAAACTGGCCCTTGGGCTTATTCCATATCCTCAAGTCTCCTGTTGGCTTTGCTCTCAAAAAGGCAAGCGGCCAAGCCATGGCACTGGAAGTAGCTGTTGAGCTCTATTGTCTGGGTTAGGGTTAATCACAGCAGCTTGCTTCTTTCAGTGCTGAATCATCAAGGGGAAAAAATGTAAGCTTGGCAGTAAAATATGTATGTGCTGCATTGTAGATTTGCAAGCTTGCCTTTGCAAATTAAAACCAGAAGCGTATATTATAGAGAGGGCTCAGAAAGCTTGAAATGGCTTTTCTCCTCTTCAATAAGTTATTTCATCCATACTCTTAAATAGAAGCTGTGGTACCGAAAGGGCTTTTGTAACTCTGGTGGAATAGCTAGAGTACAAAACTAAACATAAAAAATTGAAGAAGGCGCTTCTGGTCAGGAAGAAAAACATCCTTCTGTACCAACCTGTCCATGGATGGGACTATGAGAGGAGGCGGCACTGCCTTCCTCTGAGCTCACGGAAGCCTCTGCTCAAAAAATGGAAGAGGTTTAGGCTCTTTCAAGCACAAAAGAAACAGCGACTGAAGGCTGCCAAGTTAATCTTGAGTCCTGAGAAACTCTCTGTGTGTCATTCCCTGTCATTCCTCTTACGAGAAAGAGAAAGGGAGCGGCTGAACTCTTCTGGCATTGCCGGAGCTTTGACAAAAGGAGCTGTAACATGTGGGGACGGGGATTTGCTGGTCATTTCTGGGTGCAGAGACCCAGACCCGCGGGTGCGGGGCTGCAGGAGCAGAGCATGCAGCTGCAGCTCGGGAGCTGGGCTGGGAGAGTTTCCTGCCGCCCGCTCTACGGGCAGGCAGGCTCTGGCCAGCTACGTGCATCCACGCTTATTTGTGTAAGTATGCATACTGGGGAATTATCTTTGGCTCTTGGAGAGCCGCACCCTCCAAAACATACACCAGCATTGGCATTAGGAAACATAGGGAAAGTCCAAACACCACATCAGCACACACAGCACATTTAAGACTCGCTATAAAGCAGGGTCTGGTATAAACCAGACCTTTTCTCTTTTGCATTTATGTATATTAATGCCCGATAACCTGGAAGCTCAAGCTGTTTCACTCCTGGGTGTTTACCAGACAGAGCTGTGGCTGATGTATGGATCATATGGCAGCTTGCAGGGAGGTGTGGTGGGGAGAGGTGTTACAGTTTGGGCAGAGCTGGCCTCAGACGGCAGAAGAAGCTGCATAGGTGTCTCTCGCAGAGGGAGACAGGGAGAAAACAGCATGGTATGCTGCAAAAATGTGAGGCTTAGATCCAAGGTTAGGCTTAGATTGAGGTTTAGGACCCAGGAGGAAGGAGTCAGCTTTGCTGCTAGTCGATGAGCGAGTCTTGGTACCTCTGAGTTTTTGAGGGACGTCCTGGGCCAAAAGTAGTAGAAAAACTTTCTCCTTTGTTGAAGAATCACCCTTGCTTATCACATACCGAGATGAAAAACTTCAGCTGCCATGGAGAAGGTTTATACGGATTTGGGTTCCCTATTTAAAAAATAAATCTATCATCTTCAGTGTCTTCGTTAATGGGTAATAACCATGTTAATAGATCAATAAATAGATTAATAGATTGTATCTCCCTATAAGTATGGCAAAAATAACAAAGTACAGAAACCAGGTAGCAATCTGAAACCAGAGCTGCCTTCAGCTCTCCTGTGCTACATCTACTCCTGCTCACAAAACAACCCAGTCCTCTTGTGAACGCAGCTACCACGTATGACTCGGGGAAACTTAACCAAGTTCCGCCTGTCTCCTCCATCAGCTATCCATTGCTTCCCGGCACCTCTCCTTCTGCCCAGCTGGGGAGAAAGAGGCATCTGCTAAACGCAGCAAGACTGCTGCTGCTCGGAGAGCCAGAGCGGAGGGAAGCAGCAGCATCATGCCCAGACCCTGCCTGCTGCATTTTCCCTTTGGTTTCCTCCGCTTGTTCCAGCTTGTTGCCAGAATACCTTTTTGCTCCAGCTGAATAAGCAGAATACTGAGACACCACTGAGAATAGGCTTGTGCCACGTATCAAACTGACTGATGGCTATAGCACTCCGCAGTAATGGCAGTCTGGAAGGTTTTGTCTGCCTCAGCTTCACTATTTAATCCATGCATGTCAGAGACACAAACAAAAAGGACATTTGTAGCTTGGTCACAGAGCCAGCAAAGGCAACGTGGCTCTTCCCTTTGAGGAAATGCGAGCAGTTGTGGAAAGACCATTCTTATTCCCCAAATGAACCCACGAAGAACTGCTCTCAGCACACACGACCCTCTAGTCTAAAATAATAGCTACAATACAGTCATTTTGTGCTGAGGAGAAAAAAGTGTCACGTATTTCTTACCCACCCTCCAAGGTAATGAAGGGCATTCATTGCTAATGACCCTGGTGACTGATAACCAGAGAGAGTGTCACTCTGCTTCTTGGGACATGGCTGAACTCAAGCCGGTCCCATCCACACTAAGTTTTCCCCTCTGTATGGAACATTTGGCTGGCTCCAGACTTGTGTCCAAGGTCTCACAAGTTGTTGTGGGTGTGATGGCATTGGGATATAAGACTATCCAGATTTGGGGAGGAAGTGGCATCCAATTTTATCAGTAGGATTAATTGCTGGAGCTCTTCTAGCAAGCATACACTGCTTTCTGTTTCTCAGCTAGCACTGTACAAAATGCTATTCCTTAATTATCCCCAGATGTAAAACTACATGCAGTATCTGGCTGAGATGAAGCCTTTTTAGAAATGCCTTGACCTTGATAGCTAACTCACTGAGGGGATTGTGCCTAACTAAGGGAAACACCGAAATCCTGTAACGGAAGGCACTGTTGATGAACCAGGTACTGATTATTGCTATTAGCATAATGTACCAAGCCAGGAAAGGAGTTTGTATGGATATAATTTCTTCCAGCTTGCTACTTACCAGAACTTGTTGGTGTTGGAGGTGGGCTGTTTCTGCTAGTTCTGATCCCTCATTTATTTTATGACATAATGTGGATCAATGACAATTCATGATATAGAACCAGACTCATTTCCAATTAAATGTCTCCCTCCAAGATAAAAAATTCCAAGGTTAATTTTGTTCTCATTATAATGACTTTATTTTGGCTAAAGAATGATCAACTCATTAGCAACACATATGCAGATGATTACATTTGAACAAATATGCCAGGAGAAGCAGTTTAAACTTTCCTTAGTAAGAAAAAAAAGAAAACTTAATGAATTTGGTCTTAGGAGGACAAATGCTCAATTCACTTAGCAAGAAGCTAGATGCCTGTCCCTGCCAGTGAAAGTTAGAAGAAACAGCAACATAACTAGATCCCCAATACATCCCAAGGAAAACAGACTCATTGGTATTTAAGAAGCTTGCACCTGACAGCTTAGCTCCTCTGAGGCACTGGTGAAAACATCTCCGATACCTTGGTACCAGTTTTTTCTTTAGTTGCCGGTATCAGGGAAGGGCAATGTAGAATCATTGGCTACAGGAGCAAAAAAGGCCTCTCCAGGGTCATCAAATGACGTTCCTTCAAAATCAAGAGATTTGGTTTATTTGATCTAGTAAATAGAAAGCCAATGGGATCTGATTGCTCTCTGCAAACACACGATGAAGGCATGCACCAGGGAGTGCGGAGAGCTACTTAAGCTAAAGGACAATGCTGGCACAGCAACACATGAGTACAAACTGGCCAGAATACTTTTAGGCAGGAAATTAAAAGGCAATTTCTAGCCATTAGAGAAGAGAGCTTTTGGAAAAGCTTTCCCATGAGAGTAGTTGGGGAGGGAAATAATTAGTTTTAAGATGTTATTAAAAGGATTATAAAATGCAGTTGCTAGAGATAGGATGAAGTAGGATAGGGAAGAAATACATCCCCTCATATCCACCAAAGGCTTAAATGCTTTACAAGAAAGATATGCACAGCATTATGTGGAACCAATACATTTGTTAGGGGAAGATCCATAAGGCATCTTGGTATGTACAGAAGGACTCACATGGACTTTTGGACTAACCCAGATTACTAAAGATATGTATTTTCATTACTGAAATTTCCTAGGCACCAAACTCAAGATTTTTAAACATGCCTAGAAATATTATCAGGTTGTCAAAGCTAGGCAGCTCAGCATCTTTCTCAAACACAGGCCTGATTTCTTGCACAACCACACTTCAGATGTATTGTCAAGTCCTCCTTTTTAAAGTGGATCAAAGACTGGCTGGTCAGTGTGTTTGTCCAGCCATGCCCTGCACCTGATTCCTGAAGTCTGCCCTGTCTTTTTAGTAAACTCCATTCCCAATTCTTTGCCTGGGTGAGGTACCCTCTTTTTTTGTGTGTGGATGGGCACATATGGGGCTCCACATGCCAGTGACTGGTGTGAGACCACAGGTCAGAGGGGCTTGCATGTCTGGGGTACAGCAGCTGGAGGGACCAGAGTGCATGTGTCTTGTGTGTGTATGTCAGTGGGCGCAATTGCTAGCAAACACCAAGCTGGACTAGCAGTGGACAGCACAAAAGACTTGGGAGCTGGGTATTTGAGCTGCTGTGATCCTGAGCTGCGTAATGAAGAGACCAGAAGGTGTCAGAGTTGTCGACTGGAGGAACCAGGAGGTCCAAACCAGCTACTGGGAAGACCACGGTGTCTGAGGCTTAGCTACCAGTGACACCCTAGGTCTGGTCCAGCTACCAGAGACACTAGCATGTGTGTCAGCTCATGAGGCAAGTGGGAGATCAGTGGACCCAGGGGACAGCCACTGGCTAAACTGAGCCTAGCTACTGGGGGATCCAGTGTGTCTAAGCCAAGCTACTGGAGGGATCCACCTGTACTTCTTTTCCATCAGTGGTCTTTCATCCTGATTAACCAGAAAGGGAACAGAATGACACTTTTGGTGCTGGTTGTGTTTGCCTGTGTTTTCTCTTTCGGTTTATATATGACACGTTCCTATTAGGAATACGTGCTTGTCCTTGGCTGGACCTCAGGACATAGAGTTGCAGCAGCCTCTGTGGGGCTACCAGACTGGACAACTCCTAAGACAAGGTAGCATGGATACCTGCCCCATAATGCTACTTTTTTCCTCTTTATTTGCAGGTCAATGCCAAACTGTACAGAAAGGTATGACATGTCTTTGCTTGCTGTCCTTGGAGAATCTCAAAACCTTAAGTATTTCCCCATTATTTCCTGACAAGTTTTCTAATATTGGTGCTATAGTAGGTCTTGTTCCTAGAGAGATGATCTCTTTCACACAAGGTAGGATTTTGCTGCTGTGACAATGGTATTTGTTACCAGCCAGAGACATTAGCAAGAGGAGGCTCAGACATAGGCCCATTACTGTAATAGCCAGTAATTTTATGAAGAGACGTCTCTCTATTCCTCCCTTTTCACCTCAGAGTGAGTTGAAGGTATTCCCAACATTTATGCTTCCTAAGACCTCTTAACCTGATTTCTTAAAGTGTATTAGGTTTATGAGAATATATGTGTAAGCACATTTATGGGCCTGCTTGCCTGTCAGTCAAGTCCCAGAATAACTTTTGAACATTTTGGGCAATTTCAATCAAACTTCACAGAGGGGCTGTGGTTTCAGAGATATTAAAGTCTTACAAATTTTGTGGGGCCAAGCAAAGAAGAGAGATATCTTGCTGATACCTTCCCCACTAAAGAAAAAAAAATCTATATGACCTCACAGCTCATCAGTAAATCCATATTAAAGGCAAGGACGGTGGAGAGAGTGACATCACAAATACATTTTATTCAGGAATCTGAGTTCTCCTATGTTAGACACCAGCAAATTCACACCTCAACAGAAGATTTTTCTCTCCTATGGATTCTCTGGTGTTTAGTAAGTTCAAACTGTATTCTTAATTTTAATCAGATAAGATTTAATTATAAGACAGCCTTTCCTTTGGAAACCAGGCTTTATTAATTTTGATGGTTTCCAAGCTATTTCAGTGTTTTCTGGACAGGGATTTGCCCTTTTATTGCTGTTCAGGTATTGAATTAACAAAATAGATCTTATTTTAAGAGCAGTGCTTATCAAACAGATAAACCCTGATGCTCCATCAAATTGTCAGATACCATTTGAATTCTGAGTGACATCTACTTGCTTTAAACTGTCTGCAATCTCAAGACCAAGCATTCTTTCCATCATCTTTCTGTAAGTGGTTTTAGATACCAAATTCATTCAAGAATATTGCAAACTGCCTCCAGTCTCTCTGCGAACAAAAAAAAAATAAGCTCATTGGACATGTTGTTTGTTATGTTGTCTTTGAGATATTCAGAGTGTCAGTGAAGCCAGGTTGTTTTCATATGTTCATGTCCTTTTCATAGCAAAATGCGTGGACATCGCCTTAAGTTCTTGTACTGACGTTGCCTATACTCAAACGATGTATCCTAATTTCCTGGATCAGAAGACTCGAGAAGTGATTGAGTACAGCTCTGAGTACATTCTCATCAGCGTGCTGCACAACTTGCTCCAGGGAGAATGCAATCCCGACCTGCGGCTCCTGGGCTGCTCGGTGCTGGCCCCGCAGTGTGAAAAGGACAAAGTTATAAAGCCCTGCAGGCATGTCTGTGAAAACCTGAAAAAAAATTGCCTCCCTGCTTTTGATGCAATAGACATGGCTTGGCCCTACTTCTTAGACTGCGACCGCTTTTTCGCGGGGGAAGAAGAGGGATGTTTTGACCCGCTGGCAAAGCTGCGAGGTAAGGGAGGAAGTTCTGCTGACACATCTTACTTGTCTGGATGCGAAGGGTCTCATCTCACTCAGCTTGACATGTCTATGGCACTAAATCTCTCCGCTTGTCGTCTCAGCTTGTCTTCTTATAGACACCTATAAGGTGTGGTTCATTTTGTTCCACCTATTTTAAACACTTAATCAAACTGTGCTCAAGAAGCACCTGTTTCTCTCCCCCATATGCAAAGAGCATCAGGACAGGCAGCTCAGAGCTAGATGTTTGGACTGCCAATGTGCATTTAGATAAGCCCTGCCCTGTGTGATAGCTGTCTGTGTATTTGAAATATTTTATTTAAAAACTGAAACTTTAATGCACTCATGAATTCATGACTGCTTGACAAGCTTAACAGCTCATTAAAATAATCTCATTAGTGATTGTCACAGATTTTTGTTTGGATGAAGGAGATTCAGACAGCTGAAGACAGCTGAATCTCATAAAAAATTAATTTGATCCACCAGATTCAAAGGGAAAAATATGTATGTTTTGTGACTAAAATGTGCTAAGCATGCCAGAGTTCAAATTATAACCAGAAGTTTCACAAAATAGTTCTCTGTGTGCATATGTATTAGTATGGTTTTGCAAACAAAATATGTCACAATAAAGAGTGTAGGATGTACTATATAGATTAAAGGTTTTGATTGTGGCTGTATTTTCTATAATTCTACTACTGAAAAAGATATTTTGTGGAGAAGTACAGGCATTCATGCAGTCCTCTGAGCACCATGGTTTTAAGCACTGTGTTACAATTTTTTTTTTGCAGGAGAAGTAGATTTTGAAGAAGATTTGCCTTCAGACTTGCCAGCAACTTTTATTCAGTTCAAACATCATTCATATTCCCAAATGGTGAGCACATTGAAGAAGACTGCTTCTAAATGCTCCCATATTGCGACAACTTACAGCATAGGTCGCAGTTTTGAAGGGAAGGATCTTTTTGTGATTGAGTTTTCAACCAAGCCTGGACACCATGAACTGCGTGAGTTATATCAGTGTTGTTCAGGTTGCTTGAGGGAACTCCAAATTCTGTGAGTGAAAACAGGTCTTTTTAATGGGATATCACCTGAACTGTAAAAAGCATTGTTTCAAAAACATTTCTCCTCCTTTGTGTTCCTGAATTACAGTGATAGCTGATGATTCACTGTAGCAATTATAGTCTGGCTGTAATTTCCTAACTTTACGACCTCAGTTTATGACCATTCCTTGTTCCCAGATGTATGACCATGTACCTGGTTGCAGTGATATGGCTATTATTTATTTGTGCCCAGCATACAAAGAAGTTTGGATAGTTTTCTATCCTTTTTTGATCTGCCCTCTCCATCATCTACCACTTCCTCAGTCTCCTTTTATTTGTCACTGGACCATCAAACCCTACACACTTCCTACAAGTAATGCCTGTGCCTAGGCTAAACATAGTCCTTCACATCCTAAAATACGTACAGCTTGTGAGAAAGACCTTAGATGCACAATGACATTGACATAAAAAAAATCAATGCAGCATAGAAAACAATCCTCCTCATCAGAGATTTGGGTCAGTGCAATACCTGTCCGTGTAACAGGTGAATAATACCAGGAATTTATGTTATCATAGTACCTGAACACCTTTAGGATATGAGTTCTCACAAGTGTTCTGCAAAGGGGAACAGTACTGATCTCAGTTTTGTAGATTCATCACTGAGACAGCAAGGGCCAGATTTTTAAACATTCTAAATTCTTCAAAATGCAGATGATTTTCTTGGGGAGTAGCTCCGAGCTCAAATATAGTACCTGACTAAATCTGGTGGACTGCTATGGCCATTGCTGCCTACCAAGAACCTCAGGTTGCTTCTCATCAGACTAGCTCCAGCATCACCTGACTTAATACTTTATTGAGGTTATCATCTCAGGCCAAGCTACTGTGTCCACTGTGTGCTATGCTGCAGGGGAGGCAGAGAAGACAGTGAAGACTTGAGTTAGCTTTGTTTACTCTCAGCCATGCTGCCTTGCGTGCTGTAGAGGTATTTTGAGGTGCCTTTAAACTTGATCAAGATCCCAGTAGACTTCTTTAACACAGCAAAGATCTACATTATCTATATCTATATGGCCTATCGTCCTTCCTCTCTTGTGTAAAGAGAAGAAGTTACAGGTGTCTTTTTAAGCTGATAATCCATTTGTCAGGAAAACACAAAGCCTATGAATCAGGCTTTTAAATTAAAACTGTGATATGGCATGATAAAAGAAAGATGGTAGTTTAACACATTACCTAGAGTTTCCTTCTAAATCTGTTGCTTCATGCTGCTTAGGACACCGTAAAAGAGGGTGGAAGTAGCTCTAGAGCTGGAGACTTTGCCAGCCTGAACAAGCTGGCATAACAGCTCCGTGCCAGCCCTCCTCCAGTGTCTCGTGCTCGAGGCTGGCCGGGATCAAAGATGAACGTGAAGGGATAGACAGGAAAAGATGTCTCCAAAGTGCATTAATTTTCCACTTTCCATTAGTCTCTAAGGATGGATGGAAATTGAGAGAATAACTGTGGGGAATTATGAAGTTATATGTCTCTAATAGACTTATTCCAAGGCTGTTTAGCCTAAAAGACACTTTTTATGCACGACCTACTTTCTGTTCCAAACAGAGGGGTAATATATTACACACCTGCAGGTTGTTTCTAAGATCTGTGACAATATAAGGCATTGAAGCCGCCCAAGGTAAGTGAGAGTGCCGGGGGTGTATTTTGTTCCTTCCCAGCCATGGCTTGACATTTTTGATTGCAACATTCTTTGTTCACAATTAGTGATGAGTCCAGCAAAAGCTCAGACCAATGATTACCTCTTATGGTTTGGGATCCTGAAGGTAGGGACTTGTTTTATTTCACACTATTTAAATTGTCGCTGAACTGACTTGTAATGGAGGGAAATTCACCTGGAACTGGTGTGCTATTTACAGGAACGTATACATTAAATTAATGTCAATAATTTCTGACTCATCGGTAAGCTATTTGGGTTCCTCTGCTTTTGGAAGCCATCCAGGTATAATCAAATTAAAGCATCTCATTACTTCATATTCCACAGTCAAGCCAGAGTTTAAGTACATTGGCAATATGCATGGAAACGAAGTTGTGGGGAAAGAACTGCTAATATACCTCGCGCAGTATCTGTGTTCGGAGTATCTTCTCGGGAACCCTCGCATCCAGACTTTGATTAATAATACCAGAATTCATCTCCTGCCTTCACTCAACCCTGATGGGTACGAACTGGCTGCAGAAGAGGTAATTGACTTTTTATAAGGAAATGTTCAGGGCTTCATGTTTCTAAAATTCCCTGTGGGAAAGGACAAACTGGGAGGGGAGTGTCAGGTGTGGGAGGGAGCGTTAATAATTGGCAGCCAGACTCCCAGGCTGGTTTGGTGGTAGGCTGCTTTCCAAAGATGATGCGAACAGAGCTAAGAGGAAATCAGAGCCACATTTGTCATTTTTGCTGCCTGCATGCGATAACGTGGGAGTGACTGTGTTACTTTTTCACACATTTAGCACTAGCTGCTCTCAGTCCTAGAACAAAATGCCCACTGAGTCACTGTAATTACTGTTAAATTATTTTATAAGGAAATGTAGTTTAATACTCTGGAATAGATGTTCTTCCTCTGTTAGAAGAGCAGGTATAATAAAATGTGAGTATTTTCTGTACTGCCACGCTTTCATAATGGATGGCAGTTTTCAGAGATCAGCTGGTGACTGAAGGAGACCTATGAAAGCAAAACTTCTGACGTTCTTCTTCTTTTCACCTCACTTTTATCACTAGCACTATTAGCATGAAAATAGGACCTTTCTTCTCCTGCATTGCTCAGCTGAGCTCTCTCTGTTGTATGAGTCTGGGGTTATTGCATTCTACCTCATCTTGTCTTGGAGCGTCAGCTGTATTTTCTTTTTCTCCTTCTCTAACCCACTCTGCATGCTGCTCTGTGCTGAGTAAGAAGCTGCTGTGTTCCTCACATGCGTCACATCGCTGGTGAGTGAAATGCTTCCTGCATGCCAGTGAGTGTGTTCGTGATCATGGGGATAAAAAGTTATTAATAGCTGTGTGTTTTTTAACAGCATGGACATTTTCAGTTTACTTCTTTTAAAACTTCCCCTTGATTAAAAAGACATTTTAAACAATTCCCACAAAGTGATATTTTGCGACAGGAAGTTATTCTGAGGTTGGCTTCTATGTTACACGTTAGGGAGCTGGTTACAATGGATGGGTCATCGGCCGACAGACAGCTCAGAACTTGGACCTGAACAGAAATTTCCCTGATTTGACATCTGAGGCTTACAGAAGAGCTGGGATTCGGGGGTCCCGCCTTGACCACATCCCCATTCCACAATCCTACTGGTGGGGTAAGGTATGAATTACAGATTTTATAAATCACATATACTACAGAGCAACTCAGGAATTAAGAACCTGAGATTGCTTGATCTGAAGTTATTCTCTGGTAATCAGGTTTTATAAGCAGGAATAAACCATACAGGCTCAGAACTGGCATGAAAAATCCTGCTGGGGGTCTGGCCAAAGAGGCAGGTGTCACAAATCATGAGGAAATTTTGTGGATAATTTGGATTTTGCTATTTTAGTTTAAGAATAATTAATTTTAGGAGGGGTCACAAGTGTGTAATGATTCATGATTTAAACTTCAGTAGCATGTTAAAAGACTTTATGGACTTGGCTCTCATTGCACTAAACCCTCCACAGGTTTGGTGCAATAGTGGTTTCTGCCTTGGAAAACATACAAAGGCTTCATGTGAAGTTGTGTGGCATCAGCTTTCCACAAAAAGGGTGTTTATAAATGACAGTGACCAGCTGGAGCAATGCAAACAACCTGTCAGGCATCAGTGGTGCTGGAAGGGAGAGCTGCTGCTGCCTCCAGTCCCGGGGAGCGGGATGGAGGCGGCACTGCGAGGTCTTGCACTCATCGTCACTACGCTTTGTGTTATGTGATGTCCAGGGATGCAAAGCTCTGCCCTACCTGTGTGGCTGGCAGTCTGGCAGCCTCTGATGCTGGCAACTTGCATGGGAACTTAGTTCCCCTCAAAAGAAGAAACACAGGATGCCAAATCAGTAGTTCTGATATCAGGAGCTCTACTTTTCTTCTGCTTTTAAACTCACTTTATTCTAATTCAATTTTTATTGCTAGCACAAAGCCTCAGATAGATGGGAACGGGATGGTTTCAGCAGCTGGTGTAATAGCAGAAGATTCGAGAGACAATACTTCCGTTTTCTACTCTGCTGCAGGTGATCTCATATGAGGCCAGGTCTCAATCCCAAAGACATCTCTGATGCTGCCCCAGTGTTTTGGTACCCCATCTCACGGTAGTGAAATCTGGATAAAAGCATCTCACTTGCTCAGGCTAATGTGCATATGAGGACGCAAGGCTGTGAAAAGCTCAATAATGCACATTGTATTAGACCACTGATTTTCAACATAACTAAGCTCAAGAAGTTTATTCTATTCTAAGCATGTAATCGTAGAGATCCCAGCTCATGTCACTAGATTTCTACATGAGTTTAACATCACAGGCTTAATAGTTTCCAGCTTTTTACTGAATAATGAGAGATAACAGTCAGCTGGTAAATGCAAGTAGAGTGCGGAACCTCAGATGGGAAAGAACGGTTGAGAGCATGTAGAGCAGAGCCTGAGGTCAAATGAAAACAGTTGAAAAAGAAAGGAGTTTTAGGAGAAAAGTCTAGAGATAATAGTTTTAGTTCATCCCATTTGTGCATAATAGTTTTCATGGCTGTACATCTAAGAACCATGTGTAGCTATCAAAATGAAAGTTTTCTTCAACACATGAATGATGTATGAACAACTGAAGACTCAGGAGCAAGGTTAGGCCCAACCTTGCAGATACCTGGTGTGGAACCACGTTGTTTGCAGAGTGGACCTGAGCATTGCAGGTGTGAGCTCTGAGCTGGCTGCACTACATTTATATGCTTCTAGCTTACTGAGAGTCACTGGCTATTCCAAACCCTCTTGCAGAGCCCATCTCTCTTGGTCGCATCTTCTCACTGTGTTCCTGCTTTGAGAGCAAGCATTGCCTTGCTCTCAACCTTGTCAAGGTTGGCCATTCCATGCAACTTCAGGTCTGTTATCTTCCAGGCTTTTTGACCCACATCCATGTATGTGCTTTCCTTGGGCAGATGTTTACAAGGATTTGTTTTCTGTCTTCAGAACATGAACTCACAACCACTGACTTCAGTTCTTGCTGAGGTTGTGTAGCTCAGCCACCAAGCACAGCCACCAGCCTGTCCATAAAGGTATGGTTGATGAGCAAAATTGTGTCTGTTACATCTTACTTACCAGACAGAGGCCTTTCGTTGCATGGCCCTTTGCAGAATCAGTAGTGAGGGTGCCAGCCTCCTGGGAGCTCTTTCATGGGCTGTATCATCCCCTGAGTTATATGCAGACAGGCTACAGGAGTGCGTGGCACACCTAAAAAAGTCATTGAAAATGGCTTTGGTTTTCCATGGAGGTATCCAGGAAAGCTGCTTTTGCCCTTTCAGACTGGACATAATGGTTGTGCAGCAGACTTTGAGATATGAAGGAATGGATGGAAATCTCCCTCCAGCCATATGGCCACTTTCTCTCTGCATGCAGAGGTGCAGGAGGAAGGAAAAAACCTCTTTGGCCCCTCTTTGTGTCGGTAGCTGGTGCAAACTGTGAGCTTGTCCCACACTGTGCGGCCCAGAGTCCCCATAACTCTTGATTTTCTGGCTCTAGGCTCCCTGCTCCCTCCTCCAAGTCCTGCTTCTGCCCTGGCCCTTCTGATGGTCTTTGGGATGGTCAATGGTAGACAGCCACTTGCAGAAGTCATTTTTACAACCATGTATTTAGCTTTCTTAGATGCTGTACAACATCATAACAGTTTATAAAGGACTGGCTGGAGACAGCCTAACATTTCTCCCACAGTTACCCCACTGCCGTGGCCAGCTCTGCCCCAGATACAGCGTGCCAGTCACGCTGGAGTGTCTGTCACCACAGGCAAGGGACCAGGAAGCTTGGCACACAGCCACCCTCTGTCAGAGCTCTGCCTCGGTGGGTCCAGACCCTGGGGTATAAATACATCCTTTCTCCTGCAAACCTTTTCTTGTTTTTGAAGAATAAATAAGGCGACGGTTCAATGATTCATTCCTCAGAACACCAAACCTCAGGGAAACTCTGGATGCTCTCCTGACCCCAAAGTGGGTCCTGACCTAAACAACACCCAAAGCATCTCCAAATCTGTGTTCTTTGCAGAACAAATGAGGGAACCAATTTGCCCGTGACCTGGATGGCACCACAAAATCTCCTTGACGACTGCAGTTCCACATGGTTCAGGGACCTGGCAGTAAGCAGTCTCACAGCCTCGAGTCCCTCTCCTCCGCCGGTGGCATCACAGGGCAGCCAAATCAGCTCTCCCATAACGAGCTTCAATTTTGTCAGGCAGATGAACCCATGGCTCTTACAGTAGCCAGCTTTGTGCATGCGAAAGCATTAGATTGGATGTTTCAACACCAGCCTCTCAGCTTTCATGTACTTAATAGTGTTTATTACCTGCCTTATTAAAGTAATTATCTGAGTATTGGAGGGCATTGTATAAAGATCAGAAAATGGAAAACGAGCTCCCAGCCAATCCCATAAACTCAGGAGAGCTCCTGCCTCCCTGTAACCCTTGCTGTACAGTGCTTTTTGTTCCCCGCTATTATGAATTATTGTAATAAGTGGTCTGAGGGCTCAGACTGGGAGACTTCAGGCTTCATCTAAAATTAAGTCAGTCAAATTGGCTTGATTCAAACAGAATTTGGAGGTCTGTGCCAGTGGAGGCTGGCATAGTCTTCAGGAAAATGAGTCTGGTTGCTTCTAAAAGAGAAAAAAGAAATCTTTGAAAGCCATGGAGACAGTGACTAATCACAATATAATTGACAGAAATGAGATTCAGGTTTAAAAATGGTAATGGTCATTCCCTGTACATATACAGAAATAATTTAGCTGCTTTCTAATTGTGCCCCAAATTGTTCTTGTGAGATGGATACTTTAAAATTGATCTCCTCTGACTAAAAAGCAAGAGCCCCGGTGGAAAAAAAAAAAATCAAAACCCACAAAACCCACATTAAAGGAAAAATCTATGAATAGTCAAAGGCCAGAGTGACACAGGCAGCATCTGATATCATCCGGTGGAGCTGAACCAGGATGTGCACATTTCAAAACCTTAATCATTGTACATGATGTCACTGAAATGCTATTAGGATAAAAATAGTGACATTGAAATTCCTGATTTTCCACAGCATTCGCTTCAATAAGACGTTGGCTCTGTGACACAGTGGTGTCCTGTGGGTTGTGCAGGTATCTAGTGAGCAAGTTGGTTAATCAGGGGGAGGGACTGAACTTAGGAGCGTTCTGACTAAAACTGTGCATTTCACCCTTGCTCACAGAATCGTAGATGGCACTTAAAAATCTTCTTATCGAGGCCGGAGACTCCTGTTTGAAAGCAGGGCTGATTCTGGCGTCAGGCATGCCCTCTCTGGCTGGGCAGCGGGAGCTGGGGCAGGGCAGGGAGCTGCTGAGAGTTTGGGGCAGCATCCTCCTGGGGAGTGCTGATGCTGCGGGGCTTGGAGGATGCAGGCTTGTTGCCAGCTCCTCAGCCCCCCCGTGAAACCCCAAGCAGGGGCCCGTAGGGCAGGCAGTGCCCCTCACAGCCCCTTACAAGTCACCTGGGGTCTTTGCTCTTCGGAAGAGATGGACTCAAAGGATGAACAAAGCGCTTTCACTGTTCAGCTGAGAGTGGCTTGTTCAGTCCCAAATTCCCTTGGGATAAAGATTGTTATCAGACCATGCCAGGGCACTGTACAAAGACTGGAAAAGCAAATACTTCAGGTTTTGTTCTGCTGCTTCAAGGTAGTGTTCTTCAGACTCTGCCAGATTCCTTGTCACAAAGCCTGGTGGGCTGTTTTCTCCTCCCACCTCTGTGTTGTGTGAGGCGGTGAGTAAGACTGCAAAAAGTGCAGGGCATTTGTCCTTTCCTTTTGGAGTGCCCTTTATCTGCCCTTTTTAAAGATGTATTTCAGGTCATGACTTTCCTGGAAACTCTAGTTGCAATCTTCCCAATTATACAAGAACCCTCGGTTAGGTTTCTGGTGTTCAAAGTGTGTTCCTGAGTCAGTCAGACTTTACCTGTTACATCTCCTCTTACATTTAAGTTGCCTCTTTATAATACCGAGGTTCAAAGGTTCTACAATACAGAGGTTCAGTGGCTACCACTATGTTGACAGATAAAATGGACCTGGACTGTTTCTCCTGAGGACAAGTGGCACAGTCTGACTCGTGTTCGTATGCTAACCACAAACTAGCGATTTAATGATTCACCTTAC